ACACACACACACACACACACAGAGAGAGAGAGAGAGAGAGAGAGAGAGAGAGAGAGAGAGAGAGAGAGAGAGAGAGAGAGAGATGAGTTGCAAGGACGATCCCAAGGGGTTCCAGCGGATCATCGAGATCCGGACTACTAGGCGCTGCGAAATGTACATTTCGCCACCGCGGGTTCGGCAGAGGCGCGACGACGACGAGATGACGTGGCAAGGAAGGATATTTCTTGTCCCGGCCATGCTTGTCGTTTTGTCCACGTGGACGACGTCGGTTACATCTACGGCTATGGCGGCAGCACCGCTTCCTCCTCCTCCTCCTCCTCCTACTCCTGCTGCTGCAGCCACGTCCGCTAAACGAGGAACGCCATCGAGCACCATCACCACTTATGAAGATCTTGGGAAAGCGGTGACGTCAACATGTTATCCCGCCGTCAAATCCGACGTGTTATTGGCGCGCAGTGTTCCGGATGTTAATCAGACAGCCTGTCCACATGTCACACCATCATCGGCAGATGTGGTGGGGACAGGAAGTGCAAGATCGATGGCGGGCAACAGTCGAGCTTTATCTGACATCCACGTGGCGTCCATCTAGAGAATCTGGAGGTCACGAGGATGAAGTGCAGCGGGAGAGAGAATGCTTTGGTGGCCTTTATCGCGGCTACTCTGGTAATCAAGGGGTGCAAATTGACACTTAGTCCCAACCCCTCCAGTGGGGGTATCATGAGCGCATGGGGTGTTCTTGTCACGATCGACGACTCTGTGTTCGAATACAACACGGCCAGTTATGGTGGTGCGGTGCTCCTGGACTCCTTTGCGCTCTTGGTAGCTACCAACGTCATCTTTTCCGACATAACAGAGCGACACGTGGCGGTGCCATGGTCAACGAGGAGAGCGATATTCATTACACGCGTTGCTCGTTCTTAGAGAACCGCGCGCAGGATGGTGGAGTGGTCCACGTGGCAGATGAGGATGGGACCGAGGCCACGTTCGAGAAATCTCAGCTCGTCGGGAACAAAGTGACCCGTCGCGGGGAAGTGGGAGGTGGTGTGAACGTTGGGAATATCTACTCAAAGGTTGTGTTTTGTAGTACCAAAGTCCACCGGAACACCATTAGCACAGGTGCAGAGCACCATGTCGTCGTGGAGATCTTGCCGGAAGACGACGGCAGCGTCGACTTCTGCCCGTCGAGGCCCACGGGTGGGATCACGGTGCGGCCTGGGAGCGAATCAAGGGTCAGGGACGAGTGCGCGAGCTGCTAGTTGGATGCTTGCTGTTGCTGACTTACTATTTATTATATTAGTAGTGTTCCGTTATTTTTCGGTTTTCCTATTTATTAGTAGTGCCCCGGAAGAGAGAGAGAGAGAGAGAGAGAGAGAGAGAGAGAGAGAGAGAGAGAGAGAGAGAGAGANGAGAGAGAGAGAGAGAGAGAGAGAGAGAGAGAGAGAGAGAGAGAGAGAGAGAGAGAGAGAGAGAGAGAGACTATAAGCACTGCGTTTGCGCAAGGAGGATGCGTAGAAGAGAGAGAGAGAGAGAGAGAGAGAGAGAGAGAGAGAGAGAGAGAGAGAGAGAGAGAGAGAAGATGAAGGGAAATTGTTGTTGGGATCTTGGAATGAGAGATTCTCGGATGGATGTTACTCGATTCTCAACGTTTGTACATTTCGCCATGTGTCAGGTTCGCGCTTACTTGAGGAGTTGACGTGGAAGCAGATTGAGTGACTGCACTTGGTTGTTTATTTTGAGATAACTCCGTGAAATCTGGGCGTTATTGATTCCCGTGGGCCATATTGATTGAGAGAATACATTTCTTTCTTTCTATTTTTTTTTTTTTTTTTTTTTTTTTTTTCATTGAGCTGACCGGACCCAAGCAATTCATTTTAATCGTCAAGTTTCATCATCTGGATTCGAACTCAGGTCTGTATTTCAACAGTTCATGGGTGTGGTCCCCACTGAGCTAAGCTCTTGGGTGAGAACATATTTCTGGCGAGCTAGCCAGAGCACCCAGAAACCCATAATAGGAAATTTGAATGAATGATAATGATAAACACAAAGTTTGCATAAAACCATTGGGCGTTACTATCGCAGTACATGATTTTACGCTCCCACGTGCTCACCACCCTTCTGCCCAGTACTACTAAGGTTTGTGAAGCGCCTTGCTCGTCTCGTACTATATATACCTATCTGGCTGTTGGTCTTTCCCTTTTCTTTGCCTTCTCCCTCTTTCCCTTTTCCTTGCCTTCTCCAATGTTTACTTTGCCGGGAATACCTCCGCGATTTCCTTCAATATTGAAATTAGTTACTTAACCCCAGTTTCGAACATTCTACCCGGGCTACAAATCCCGGTTTACCTCTACCTCTCATTCCCACCCTGATATCCAATTTTCATCCATTTCCCTTGCCGTATGAGTACTGAGGCTTTTTCCAGACTTTTCTTCCCGATATCCGTTACTTAAGGTTCTGTTGCTGGTGTTACTTCTTTTTTTTTTTTTTTGGTTTTTTTTTTTTTTTTWCCTCCGAGCCTATTTTCGACGTGGTAGTGATCGGCGGCCGTCGTTTCGTTTCGGCCTCCTGAAAGGTCGGACGCCGAGTATTTTCGAACCGTCAAAGGTACTGGTGGTTTAACAAGGCTCCAATCTATTCGTGGGGATATCCCAATTCAAAATTTATTATTATTTTTCTTTTTTAAATGCGTCCTTTCATTATAGCCGGAAACCGGGTCCAGCGTCCCTTACATTTGTTCCGTGGTCATGTGGCTGGGTGAGGCACTCCCGGCCTCACTCATCCAAACCACGGGCCGATCACAGTTATGAATGGTTGAACAGTTCAAGCAAGGACACAATTTGAGAAAACCGAAATTAAGGAAAAACACACTAATACTAGCTAAGCCCAATGCTAAAAAACACAGCTAGAACCAAAGCTAGAACCAAGGCTAAAAACAGAACTAACCGCAGCGCTGAAAGTCTGCTGACCTGAGAAGCCTAAAGAAAACCAAAGTGACCAAAACTACCATCACACCAAGAAAGGAGAAAACTTTAACACTGGTGGCCCACCCAACGGTGCGTCTGCAGTAACCAAGCCTGAGAAAGCTCCCCATCTATTCCCAAACCACTTAACGCACTTGGCCGAATGACCCCTTTTCTGGACACAATATTCCCACTCTGCTGATATGGCCTGCTTTATGGAATATTTAATCTCTGCTCTAACCATTGGTGGTGTCAAAAGCTCATCTTTCCTCACCCTGGCATTTCTGAGGTTCCATAGGGTCCATATGATGACACCTCTGATGGTCTCTTCCGCGTGGCAATATTGTAAGGGCGATGTAGTCCTTCTGGCAGCTGTTCCCAGCTAAATGAAACCATCATCCCAGCGAGTTGACACCCCCGGTACTGGCACACCCGAGTGTCTCCACCAATCCCAAAATGGCCAAGAAGGGTCACATTGTAACACAAAATGTTGGATATCTTCTATTCAGGTTCCTTGGCATATTGGACATTCAGGTGTTGCTTTCACTGTTCTTTTGGCGCACCAACTATTAACAGGCAACGCCAAGTGCTTCAGCAACCAAAGGAGACTCGAGTGCTTACTCACCACCAGGTCCATCAGCTGCTTCCAAAAGGCCGGAAGTGCTGCAGACAATCTTGTCACTGTGTCTGCCACCTACCCCGTGGCCATCCATCTTCTTGCCACTGTCCAATTGACATCGATTGGTGGGGTCATTATTTGGTAGCCCAACTTGGTGGCGTATTCTGATAAGTTGACGGCTTCATTACGGCGTAACGGGTGGTCCCACACCCAGTCTCGCGGGTCGATAGCCAGGTTGTACGCTGGCTTCTGCAGAGAAAAAGGTCTATAGCTTTGTTTCTGCTCCAACACACAGACTGGCACCAGCTGTTCCGCGGGAGGAAGGGGAAGTTGTTCCTCAGGGCACAACAAAGGTTCTCCCAGGGAATCAGCTCCTCCTCGCACCTGCCAAAAGGTGGCCGGGATTTCCACCACTTCCGAATAATCTTCAATTCTCCAGATGTGATCAGGCATGTACTGTTGAGCTTGTTTATACCACATTCCCTTGACCGGCCTAAGTCCCATTCTTAAGGTATGCACCCATTGCTGAGGGACAGCATTGTGCAGCTGTTCCAAATGCTCCTCCTGCCTCCACAATCCGATCAGTCTCGGGGATACGGATTCAATAGGTTTCCAGTCTGCGTTAGTTTCATCCCAAATATCAGCAATAGTTCCAATCACCCGAGACATCCAAGCATTCTTAAACTCTCGCGGTCCAAAACATCCAAGGGGAAGTCCCTGCGGGTTGAGCAAGAAGAACTGCCCTTTAGTCAAAATGGACATCTTGTATTTTTTGAGACCAGGCACCTCCAGGACCCTCAGGCACCTCCAGGCCCGACGTACCTCCACAGCTCGAGCTAGGTCCATGTACAGCCAGGGGGTCCAACGTTTGTAAAACCCTGGACCCTCAGGAATAGCAAATTTTGACGAGTTTTCGGCCAAAAAACTCGGTTTCAATTTTGTTCAAAAAATAAAAAATGTCCATTTTGACTAAATGGTCGTTGAAGGGATTATTGAATAAAGGCTGTGTCATTAATCGCTCAAAAATCAACGGAGGGGCCTGCAATTTGGGGCACCCTCCTCTCCAGGCTTTTAATATCCCTGCCCACACTCCCTGTGGCAGTCTCTTCCGCTGGTAGTCCGGGATAAGGAACGTTAGCCATACACATCTAAGATCAGCCCAGTCCAACCAAGAGAACAACGAGAATTCAGCTAGTTGACGCCACGACGTATAAGGGCTTTCCAAAATTGCCCACGGCACCCACCTTGCGAGAAGCGCCGCTATTTGTCGTTCTGGGTCTAAAATGGCCAGCCCGCCCTTCCGTTTTGGTTGAGTGATGGTCTGCCATGCCACTTTTGGCAAAAAATTGTCATCATTGAGCTCCTCTCTCCACAGATAGTGAGTCAACAGGTGTCGTATCGTCTGCAATGCCGAAGGGTCAAGCTGATGGATCGATCTACGAAACCACAGGGTAGACAACACAACATTGTTTATCACGATGGCTCTTCCGAATAGACTGACTCCCTTATATTTAACCCATGGCTGCAGTGCGGAGCGCAATCCAGCTATCGATGTTGACGGGTCTTGATTCAGTTGCGGATCAAAGGACACTTGGTGGCCAAGCAATAATTCAGTCCTGGCCAGGGCTACTATCCTGACTCCCCAATTGCACGGAGGCCGCTCTCCCGGAGGGATTAGTACTGATGATTTTGACCAATTAACCTGGGCCTTTGACAAGTGACAAAACAACTCAATGGTATCTCTGAGCGCAAAGAAGGCATGGTCAGTCAGGGGGGAGAATGCGACAGAGTCGTCGGCGAACGCCTCTGTTTTCAAACTATCTCCCCGAAGGTAAAGTAAAGCCCGGGATTTCCGGGTTCGACCTTATCATTATATGCATAATCTCTACATACAGGAGGTATAAGTAGGGCGCTACTGGGCACCCCTGTCTGACCGACCTTGTTAGTCTAGAGGACCCCGTTGACACAGATCTGAGAGGTAGCGTTTTGGAGCAGGCTGTCAACAACGTGCTTGATTTTTGGGCCAAATCCAAAAGCAGTGAGCGTCGCTTGCAGAAACTCCCATCCCACTCGATCATAGGCCTTAGCCAAGTCCAACAGGATGATGGGTAATCTTTCCTCTCCGGATGCAACCAACTCAGCCAATTGTTCCACCACCATCACATTGTGCAAAATTTGTCTCCCTGTGAGGAAACCAGTCTAGGTTCGATGGATGAGACAGGGCAAAACTGTCTGCAGTCTAGCTGTTAAAATTTTTGAAATAATTTTATACAGCGCTGGCAAGAGCGTAGTAGGTCTGTAGTTTGCGATGTCGGTACGATCCCCTTTTTTGAACACGAACGTGATAATGCCTTGTAAAGCTGAGGGCGGCAAGGAAGCCCCTTCCCAAACCGCTTGGCAGATCAACAACAACTCAGGCAATAAATGCAGAGAAAAGCCACGGAAAAACTGCGCGGGGAGGCCATCCAATCTTGGTGCTTTGTGACGTGCCAGGCTAGAGATCGCTTTCACTAGCTCTTGCATACGAATATCTGCTTCGAGGTGCTGCAGTTGGTTGTCAGTCAATCTGTTTTCCACTTTTGTCCATACCTCATCATGGAATTGGTGGAGTAGCTGGTGCTCCGAGTATTGTGCCTACGAAGTAAGCAGGTTTTCGTAAAATAACGAGATATTAGTGACTATCGCCCGAGTTTCAACCGCCAATGGTATCGATGTCAGCGGAACCGAGCCAACAGGCTGGGCTGATGTCTCCATCGGGA